ACATGAGCGAGAAGGGGATGCAGATTATGGTTGCGGGAGAGAGGCTTCCGGGTCTGAACAAGATCGATCTGACTTTCTGTGAGGACTGCATCCTAGGCAAACAAAAGAAGGTGAGCTTCAACAAGACCGGACCGGCTCCAAAACTGCAGAAATTGGAGTTGGTGCACACCGACGTGTGGGGACCTGCGCAAGTCCCATCTGTTGGTAACTCTCTTTACTTTGTCACTTTTATTGATGATGCTACGAGAAAATTGTGGGTGTTCTTCTTGAAGCACAAGTCAATGTATTCATCATCTTCAAGAAGTGGCTTGCCTGTGTGGAGAACGAAACAGGCAATAAGCTGAAGTGCTTAAAGTCTGATAATGGAGGCGAGTATTGCAGCCAGGAGTTCGAGAACTTCTGCTCGTCTCGTGGGATTCGGAGACTGAAGACCGTCCCAGGCACACCACAGCACAACGGAGTGGCGGAGCGCATGAATCGCACTATCTTGGAGCGCGCCAGAAGTATGAGGATCCACTCCGGATTGCCCAAGAGCTTTTGGGCTGAAGCTGTCAATACTGCTGCATACTTGATCAACCGCGGGCCATCCGCGGCTCTCAATTATGGGATACCTGAAGAGGCTTGGACCGGAAAGAAGCTGAAGCTAGAGCACTTACGAGTATTTGGTTGTGACGCCTATGTCATGACCAATCCTGCAGACCGGTCAAAGCTTGATCCAAAGTCAAAGAAGCTCTCTTTCATCGGCTATGGAGGAGATGAGTATGGGTATCGTTTCTGGGATCACGATGCACGCAAGGTGGTGCGCAGTCGTGACGTCGTATTCCATGAGAATGCGGTGTATAAGACCAAAGAGGTGAGTGGGAGTCAGCTATCTCCCCCTCTTTTTCCAGATATTGCTGACAGTGAGGACGGAGGTGAGATACCAATCAGCATAGAAGACAGAGACCAAGAGAACATGCGGGATGCACAGCAGCAGGATCCAGCAGAGTTGCTGATCGCAATTCGCAAAGCTCCAAGAAATCCAAGGGTGCCAGAGAGGTACCTTTCCACAATGAATTACCTTCTCCTGACTGACAATGGTGAGCCAGAGAGCTATGAGGAGGTACAGCAGACCGGCAAAGCTCGCGGCGAGTGGGAGTCTGCCATGGAGGAAGAAATGAAGTCCTTGATGATCTTCACAATCGGTGGATTTATCGGGTCAAGGATGAAGCCGATGGACGGAGACGCTACAAGGCGAGGCTTGTAGTGAAGGGCTATGAACAGAAAGTAGGGATTGATTATTCTGACGTTTTCGTTCCCGTCGTCAAGTTGACCACTATCCGAACTGTGCTGAGCATTGTAGCAGTTCAAGATCTCCACCTAGAACAGATGGATGTGAAGACGACATTCCTTCATGGAGATCTGGAGGAAGAAATCTATATGCATCAACCAGTGGGCTTCGAGGAACGAGGCAGGGAGGGCCTCGTTTGTCGCCTACACAAGAGCTTGTATGGCTTGAAGACATTCCTTCATGGAGATCTGGAGGAAGAAATCTATATGCATCAACCAGTGGGCTTCGAGGAACGAGGCCGGGAGGGCCTCGTGTGTCGCCTATGCAAGAGCTTGTATGGCCTGAAGCAAGCTCCGCGACAGTGGTACATGAAGTTCGAGAACTTTATGGAGGAGAACGATTTTCTCAAATGCGACACAGACCATTGCTGCTTCATCAAGAGATGCGGTGAATCCTATGTGATACTCTTGATTTATGTTGATGACATGTTGATTGCAGGACCCGACTTGGCCCGTATTGAGGAACTCAAGGGGCGTCTCTCCGAGTGCTTCGAGATGAAGGATCTGGGTCCAGCAAACCAGATTCTGGGGATGAGGATCATCAGAGACAGATCAGCACGGAGGCTGAGGTTGTCTCAGAAGGCCTACATTGAGAAGATTCTTGAAAAGTTTGGCATGGAGAAAGCTAAACCGGTGGGCTCGCCGTTTGCAAGTCATTTCAAGCTATCGAAGACCCAAGCACCAGAGACTGCTGAAGAGCATGAGTTCATGGCAAACATACCATATGCATCTGTCGTCGGGAGGACAACCGAAGCCGAGTACGTGTCTGCAACAGAGGCAGAAAGGAGTTGCTATGGTTGAAGGCTTTTCTTCTCGAGCTTGGAGTAAGCTTTGAGAAATACTTCATCCACTGCGACAATCAGAGTGCCATTCACTTGTCAGAGAACGACACATTCCATGCTCGGACCAAGCATGTTGACGTGAAGCACCATGCCATACGGAGATGGCAAAGCAGGAACGAGTTCAAGCTTGTGAAGATTGATACGAGGTACAATCCAGCCGATATGCTGACCAAGCCAGTTCCGCTCGAGAAGGTGAGGCTGTGTGCAGCCTCATATGGCCTCCGTTGAGAATGTTGAAGGCCGTGCAAGACGCCAAAGATACAAGACATCCGGATGATGCAACCAAGAATGGTGTGAAGATATGATTGATATTCAATCAAATCTTCAAGTGGGAGATTGTCAGCCTAACAAAACAAAAGTGGGGCCCACAAAGGGAAGAAAAATCAAATTCGGTGGTAGCCATTGTTGAGAATTTATAAAGGATGTGGGTCCCACAAATATTTTATTATTAGTGATGGGTCCTACTGATAATATTTTATTTGTGCATAGTATTTCCCAAACACTATAAATAGGACCCTAAACTCTTAAGGAAATCTCATCCCAGAAACAACTCCTCTTATAGAAGAGTAAGAGAAAACACAGAGAGAGTTTGTGAGAGTTCTTGGAGTGTATCTGATCAAGAGAGGGTGTTCTCTTGGATCTATTCTTTTGGGATATAAAAGAATTTAGCGTCGTCGTTGCACCGTGGAGTAGCTCCGAAGGAGTGAACCACGTATATCTGTGAGTACTCTGGTTGATCTTGTGCCTTTATTTTGTGATTAAGTCTCCGTTCGAGGCTTTATTATTGGGGTGTATCCTAACAAGCTTATTATGCAATAAGAGGGCGACACCTCGCATGACCCCTATTGGTCCCATATTTTGGATCCTTGAAGAAATTTTCTTCTAATATACATACCAAAACATTAATTTAGATCCCGTGCATTGCAGAGGTAACAACTAGAGTATTTAAGAGTAGGCAAGAATAGCAAGTCGCAAATACGTTATGACCAAGTCCTTCAAGGTCAAGGCCACCCAAACTTCCACAAGAGGGAAAATAACGGACAGAGTACCAAGAGAGCTTCAATTCTCGCACGGTGATGTTCAATACCGTGCGATTTTCGTCGATAATCTATGCTGCGTTTGTGGCGATCAACTCAACCATCTCGCCTATTACACCACCGAGCCCCTCTCATTCTTATGCTCGCATAGCTTGCGCTCTGATCAACATACTAATTTCTCTCCTATTACTCATCATCTTCCTTCCTCGGAAGCCGGACTCAACCAAATTCTGTTCATAACGGGGTTTTCTTAGAAAGTATGGGGGGGCTTTTCTGCAAGACTATTTGCAAATTTCGTGAAGCCTGAGGATCGTCCTTGTGAATCTCCACATTATTATGGATTATGATCTGTAACTTTCCCCATAAGAAAGGCACAACGTGGAACTGGAATGTATTGTGATCGATAGAGCCGTCCTCCTTTATATTTCCCTCTTGTTTAAGAATTCGAAGAAAGAGCTTTATAGCGTTCAGTTACTGATGTTCTTTCTTTAATTTGCTTTTTTCCTGTTTAAAAAAAAAAATCTTATTGAGGCTATCATTCTTCATATGATATCCTTATTTTATTTTTAATTTTATTTATTTTGACAGAATGCTATTGTTACAAGTGTATCACAGTATTTCAAGTAGGGCGCACAATTTTTCATAGAATTTGGATAGCATCTTATGTGGTGTTCTTAGGCTAAAGAGAGTAGTTGGAGAAGGCGTTGGTGAGGATGAAGTGGGAAATAGTTTTGAGTTAGAATTTTATTAAGAAGATTTACAAAACTTAATGGATATAGGCTAAAATGGTTAATGGGTTTGGGCTTGTCTTAGAGGTGTACAAATAGCAAATCCCGAATGTTATAGTCATTTTAGTGATGGAAAATAATCACCAATCGATGACAGGCAAATGTCCTACATTATGCATAATTATTTCAACATCTCAAGATAATCAGAAGCCCAGCTCCGTCGACTCGACACGCTAACGTCATGCGAGGACGACTCGAAAGGCGTCACATGTTGATGACCCAAAAGACGTTACATGTCGTCCCCCGGCTGAGTCAACTACTTAAACACTCCACTCGGCCAACTCATCCGCCAACACCTTGTGAGAGAGACTCGAAAGGCAGTACTTTTCGACCACCAGACGAAGAAAGGCGACAAAACACCTCGAGCCCCTCCTGTGCACTGATGACCAATCACCTCGTTATAAATGTCATTAAATACATTATGGGTGCTATCATTCCTCTACCTCTAATAGTATTTATGACACATCAGACCACGTCGGCACCGCACACCCACATCACTTCGTATTAAACCGAAGTGACCTCTCCTCCACGCCTTGGCCGACACCGTAAAGTTGAAGCTGACTTAACCGCCGACCTATGCCCGGTAAAAGTTACGATCCTACCCTCCTTCCACTATTATAAAAGGAGATACTATTTTCCATTATAGGGTAAGTTTTTTCCACCATTCTCTGAACTTAAGAACTGCTACAGTTCTTTTCACTTCTCCACACAAGCCAATAAGAATAGAATATAACAGTAATCCAATAAGAATAGAATATAACAGGTAATCCAAGGACCAAAGTGTTGATGCTGCTCAATTGTGTATTGCACGTGTGAACACCTTGACACAATACACATTAATCATTCTAAACAGTTATAATGCTGTCAAACTTTCAGGAAAAAGAAATTAACGAACAAAATACTCATAAAAAGTACACGTCTGCTAGCATTGTCGAGTAACACTGCGTCATAAATCAATCCGCGTTTCAAGTAGAGAAGTATCAAAAATTTCAGTGCATGACAAATGGGCTCGAAGTAATAATTTGATCAGAGGTATTTGCATTTCAAAGATACATAGCAATAAAACACATAAAAACCAACTGACCACAATTGTACAGTTAGAGCATCAAAAAATAAGTTTGACGTCAAAATTTTTGAGAAAGAAAACAAAAAGAAAGAGGATCCACAAGATGCTGGCAAAGGTTCTCAAATCTCATTGCTCCTTGATAAACCGCCTCAGGTTCTTGAGCCAAAACAGATACTCACGGTTATCTTTGTAAACCATGTATTCGTACAAGAAGTTCATTGTTAATGGTGAAATTCCTCTCCTCTCCAAGTACCTGTGGATAGCTTTCTGAAGTTTTGTATCCAGATGGCTGCGACACAAGAGCGAGGAATATCATTCTTTCAAGGAAATTGAATAATCATGTAGTTTGGAAGTACTTATGAGATACAAGGTAAGAAAGCGCAGGAAAAATTTGTAAGAATTGGTTTTGGTTTGTTCTGGCACGTCAACCGACACAGTTATTTATTACAGAACAGAACTACGTATGACCAATGTTGATTTAGGTCAATTTTAGGATTGAATTGGTATGGAGATAATTTGGTTGATTCTTAAAAAAGAAACTAAGTATAGTTGTTATATTGATGCAATCAAAGATTTTTAGGTTGGAATACAAACTAGTGAGGGTTGGGGTATTTTCTTATCAACAAGTCGTTATTATTAGCCATTGCTTATTTCTTTACACTAGGTATCAATGAACTTACTAAGCATAATAAGGATGGAAGTCTCAGGTACATGTCCTTTGCTTACCGTTTTTGCATTAGTTGGTGGGAGCAAAGAGCAGATGATGATTTAAGAAAAGAGAAGGTGGATAAGTCCCTGAGAATCAAAGAGATTTAAAATGTTCTTCTTGAAAACAGAATATAACATATGATGTTGGAAATCAAGGAGAATGTAATTCACACACACACAAAGGAAAAAGTTAGTTAATGTGGAGAACTGGAATCATATGTATTAGTGGAATTGCAAGTTTGTTTCAAAAATATAATCAACTATGCTTTTACAGAAACAAAACATTATTATTAAGAATTAAGAAATAACATGTTTAGAAAAAATGAGTTAATTGAAACGAGAATGCTGAGATGATGTCACAATAAGTTTCTTAAAAGGATAACAAATGAGTTCATCCAGGTAGTTCGAATTTAGGATAAAATAACAGGGAATCCAATAAGATAGAAAAAACAGATGCTCCTGAGAATTGACAAGTTAGTTTGTAACCGGGGAAGTACTAAGTGTAGACTTAAAAAATATGCACTTCAGAAGTATATGGCAGTTGTAAGGTGCTAATTTACTCATTTAAGAGATCTAAATAGAGGAAAAAGATTAACGTGGTCAAGACTGAAGTTTGAGTTTAAGAACGTTGACATCTTTCTTATGTGGCTAGTTGGGCAGGTCTATTTGGAGGAAATATCAAAGCTAGATCACTTGGCCGACACTCAAGTATGCATTAACATCATGCTCCCCAATAGTCCGACAACAAAGCATTTATCCCAACAACAACAACAACAAAGCCTTTATCCCAAAATTTTTTGGAGTTGGCTTGATGAATTATTCATCCATTAAGTTTGGTTAAGGCCTATCTCCCTCAATTAGGTTTGTCAGCTAGATGAATGCTACCCTTCCACTCAGTTTGGTTAAGAGATATCTCCCTCAATAAAGCTCATCGGCTAGACAAATTCTACTCTTCCATTCAGTTTGCTTAAGGGATATCTTCTCTATTAAGTTTTCTGGCCACATGAATTTTATTCTTCTATTCAGTTTGTATACCATTATCTCCTGCTCTTCGAGGAATCCATGTGCAAAAACACCAGTTATATGTAACTTACTCAAATCTAACTATAATTTAAACAACATGCACAGAGTTAGAGCATGAAGAAAGCAACTGACAAACACTTACCTAAACCTCGGGCCTTCACAGGAAACCATTTCGTCCTCAGTTTCCATATCACGTCGAACCAACACCGCGTCGATCTCAATCTCATCAGGGTAAGCAGTGCATCCCACCTCCAAGCTCATCCCTCCCTTGCTAATATTTACTGTCAATGGAATGCTAAACTGCACCTTTCCATCATCATCATTTTCACCCTCATCATCATGCTCATCATCATCATCATCATCCTCGGGGTCCTCCTCAGTTACAAGATGGGGCATTGAAACTACAACTTCAATCTCCTCCCTCCCATAGCTCCTCCTGAGAACAATCGCATTTGTCCCCTTCTCGTCTTCAATCTCAAACGGAAACCCTTTCGGGAATTTCTCCGGCTACTCAAATCACACAAAAAATGACATCAAGATTCAAGCTTTAACTCAAATTCGAGATGGGGTTTTACCTGTGTACCCCACATCACCCCTATTCGCAAATTTACCCCATGATATGTTTGATTTTCGGGTAAATTATCGAATATATAGTTCTAAATAAAGAACCCATTAGAGAAATTGGGAGCTTGCCTTCTTGTAGTCTTCGGACGCGAACTTGATCTCGGAGTCTAGAACTTTGAGGAGGTCAAACTGCTGCTGTTGCTCTGAGAACGAAGAGAGAGTTCTTGATAGAGATAAGATGTTCCTCAGGGGAAGCGTACGACCCTTCGTTGCTTTAAGGCCATGGGAAGCGAGTGAGGCCGCCGCCGCCGCGGTGGCTCGCCGGAGGGCCGTCAACATGATTTTTTAAAAAAATAAAGAATCAGGCCGCCGCCGCCGCGGTGGCTCGCCGGAGGGCCGTCAACATGATTTTTTAAAAAAATAAAGAATCGGTTTTTCTATAGAGTGCCCTTGGGCATTCTATAAGAGAGGAGAGAGATAGAGAGAAATGAATGAGGAGGGGGGCCCTGATTTGCATTGGGATCCTCTCTTCATTTATTTCTCTCTATCTCTCTCCTCTCTTATAGAGTGCCCAAGGGCACTCTATAGAAAAACCGATAAAGAATTAGGGTTTTAGCGAAGAGAATTATTAGATTCCCGATTTTAATTCTACTGTTCTGCTATCCGCGGGTGCATCGTAAGCGAGAGAAAAAGCTGAGAATAGAGAGATTGAAACTTCCTTGCTTTGGGGCTGTCTGGGGCTAAGTTTGTTGGGCTGTCTTTCTTCCGTTCAATTAAGGCGGAGCTGATTGAACTAATTGAGCTAGAGTTGGGCCATAAATATACAAGCCTTGGAGCCTAGAAAAAGGGAGCTAAGGGGATGTTTGGTTCGTTTCCATAAAATAATGAAAATGGAATCCAAGGCAAATAACCATTTCCAAAATTTTTTTTGGATCATTCAGGAATCCATAACTTGTGTTTGGTATAGAATGATGAAGTGAATAATAAGAAAGCATTTCCAAAACTCATGTTTGTTTCATTACCAAAAAAATTAAGGAGTTGTGAGAGTAATTGATGAGTTGTCAATGAGTTATCAGATTTTCAGCCCATTTCAGAGCTTTAAAAGAGGATTTGGCTTTTCCATAAAGTGTGTTGCCATGTTAGCTTTTAAGAAATGCATTCTTAAAAAAAAAGTTGAACCAAATGACAGTTTTGGAATCCAAAAATGTCAAAAAACCTACTTTTTGTTCCAAAACTACATGATTTCCAAAAATTTAGCTGAACCAAACAGCCCCTAAAAAATGAGTGACTGCTAGCCGGAGATTTTTTTTCAAAAGAGCCCATTTTTTCTAGATAATTAGCAAAACCGATCGTTTTGCTAACTATTTAGCAAAACCGATCTCTTTTTAGCCAACAGGTAAAAAAGAGGTCGGTTTCACAAAAGGGGTATTCCGAAACATACGGGACTATTAGTCCCGTAAGTTCAGTGGCCGTCAACATTAAAGTGACTTCTGAAAAGTAGTCTCGCTGGTTTGCTGCTGTCCGTTACAAAACGCAAAGGACTACGAGTCACTGCATTAAGTAGAGAGCCTGCCAAGCTTTGGCCTAGAAAATCTACTGCACTAGTAGTTCCGTTGATTTGTCGGGCCTATAAAAACCCACCCGTGTCCAAAAGTTAGGGCACAACATCCTCTCTCTCTCTCTCTAAGCCTCCTGACCTCTTACCTCTCCAAACCCAAATTACATCCACCCTCTCCCAGTCTCTCTCTCCCAATCTCTCTTCCTTAATAACCCTAACCCCAATCCATTTATTCTCTCCAAAATCACCTCTTTATCCCCCAATTTTCTCTCTCTTATTCTCACCAAACCCATTCTCTTTTAAATCATTCTCCCTAAACCCAATTAGAGATCTTCCCCAAAGTTGCATTGTTAAAGTCCGACGTTTTCTCCTCACCGACACCGACAAATTTTAGATCTTCATCAATGTATAAATTTTGATCCCCCCCCTAATTTTCTCTCTGTTATTTAGTTAAAATTATAGTTTGAAAATAACTGTATGTTTAGAATACTTTTTTTAATTACGATAAACAATGGGATTTGGTTAATTTTGATAGATTAAAATTTGTTAGATTAAATTTTGATAACTAATTTGCATATGATAAATGTTAATATTTTAGTTCGAATGACGCATGGAATACCAGTTATTTTCTTATTCAATGGGAAACTGAGTGTTGGAATGAATAATATATCTATATATGAGGGAGGATCTATAAAAATGTTTATGCTATCTAGAAATTGTAACTTCGATAGAATGATGGAGCAAATATGCAGATTTACTCGAGTTAATCATGGAGAGTATGTCACTAAGGTCTTCTGTAATTGTCCAATAATTGAAAAAAGAATAATTGTTGTAGAGATTACCAATGATCAAGAACTGAGTGACATGATACAACTTGTAGAAAACCAAATCTCAATCAAGTTGTTCATTAAAAATATTCCAATATCCGGTGCTGTACAAGTTTCATATGCTCCAGGAGAGTTCTCCCACATGCTTGACTTAGAAAATAACTCGAGCGAATTCATTTCATCTCCAAGTGCCTTACACGTAGAAAATCACCCAGGTGCAATATCAAATGACGTGTTCCACAATGCTTCGGGCCATGTTTTAGTTAATTTACCGGTTGGTTCTATTGTAGAAGAGGATGATGATGCAGATGCAGATGATGATTATGGAGAAGTGATAATCATATTTTATTATAATTTTATACCATCATTATCTATTTTATATGAATAAATATACCAATAATAATTACTTTTATCTTTAATTGCAGGTTAATGAAGAATAAATCCTAAAAATCTCATCTCTCAACAAAGTCCCTTGAGTAAATAAAGAAATAAGAGAAATTCAAGAAGCCAAAGTGAAATATTTGAATTTTGAAGGCCAAAAGCCCAAATGTCCCAAAATGTCCAAGATGGCAGCTCCTCCTCTTTATTCTCAAGTGAAATATTCAAGGCCCAAAGCCCATCAAAAAAAATACACCAAGGAAGCTATGACCGGTGCTGCAGATTGGATTTTTATTCAAGTCTCCATGGACCGGTGCTGCAGATTGGACTTTTATTAAAGACTCCATGACCGGACTTGCTTTGGAATTGAAAATCATTGTGTGGGCCGGACTTGGCTTGGATTTTCACAAGAAAATCATTGTGTGCAATCAAATGAACTCTTCATGGACCGGACTTAGGCTGCAGCTTTGAATTTTAATCATATGCATTGGACCGGACTTGATTGCTGCAGAAACTCCATTGGACCGGACTTGCTGCAACTTGATTTTCATTTGTTTTTGAAAATCATATGGGCCTCCTATGTTGGGCTAGAGAAGAACAAAAAGCAAATTCCAACCCATTTCTTCACTAACAAATTCAAAGGTGGAGATTGCTTTGCTTGGGGCTCAAGACAAATCCAATGGCTCATATTCATTGATGATTACTATAAATAGGGGTAGAGAGTGAGAGGTTAGGGGTGTGAAAAATTTTGTAACTCCATTTGGAGAAGAGGGCTACTCTTAATTGAGAAGGCTTTCCAAAAATTATAACTTTAGTTACAATTAATAAAAATAAATTTTCTTCACTTTAAATTTGTTCTTTCTCCTCTTTGTTGAATGATGAGGATGGAGATGAAGAGCAATTTGAAGGTTTGCATTTCTTTTCTCTTTTATTTCTTTTTAGTAATTTCTTTATTATTGCTTATTAGTTAGATTTAAATTCATGCTCTTTTATATTATGCAAATTATTCTCTTTCACTTAAAATGTTCATGTTTAGGATAATCAACTAGAAAACTAATCGGTAGAAGAAGAATTTGATAATCTATGCTTATCTTAAATGGTTTAATAGGTTATGCTTATGAATTCTAGGATTACTATCTTGTTGTTGTTCTTATCATGAATAGTAATTTTGACTTAGATGATAACTTGATAGGTTATAATTTTCTTAAATGGTTTGATAGTCTATGCTTAATAAATCTAAGTTAAAATATGATAAAAAGAGAATAGTTTGTATTTTGTAATTGAAATTAGCTAGTGTATTATATTCTAGATTTCTTACATCTTTTGAATCCTTCATCTTAACCTTCTTTAATTTTCTTTTCATTCTTGGTTTTATTTCTTAATTTTATTCATTCTTCTTTCTTGCCTTGTGATTTCATTATTTCTTAATTTTATTCATTCTTCTTTCTTGCCTTGTGATTTCATTTATTCTTTGATTCTTTCTTCTCTAAAATTCAATTTATTATCTCTTGCATATATTCACAAAAATCACTCATCACATCTCTCTCCATAATCACATTATTCTTTAATCCTATTTTTGTCATGCACACAATATAAGAACCTATTCTAATAATCTTTTAAAATCACCTTCCTCGTGGGATCGATAACTTTTTATACTATAACTTGATCAATTGTGCACTTGCAATTTTGGTACATAATTATGTTGCATCAAGTTTTTGGCGCCGTTGCCGGGGAAAGTGCTAAAATAGGATTTTATTATTTTGGTTCTTTAACTTGTGTGTTTTTCTTATGAAGGAACCGCTTGGAGCTTGAAAATCTTGGATTGAAGATCAAGAATTTAGAGCTTTGCTTCCGGGTAAGTCCTCTTTCTAGTTTTCAATTCCACCCTTTTAGTTAGCTTCACAAGTAGAGACAATTAGGATTTAAAAAAAAAGATTTTATTTTTGTTGACCATAATAAAATCAATCTTTCACTTGGACATTAACTAACAAGATAATAAACTCAAACAATATTCCCCCTTCTCACATTTGATTGTTGTTGATCATAATTAAAAAATATAAAAATTTTCTTTTTATCATCCTTTTTAGTCGCTTTTAACTTCTAGGGTTGCATTTCATATAGTGTAGGGATTCACCAAAGTGATTATAGCACTTGATTTGGCACACACTTAAAACATTTTTAAGGGCAAAACCCATAATCAAGATAAGGTAAGGGATTTCATCACCCTTTCCTTAGCTCACAAATTACTAATTCCTCACTTCACAAACCCAAGCCTTCTAAAACTCATTAGACGTTGGCCCCTAAGGATTCGAGCTCAATAAGGAACAAGAAATCCTTAAGTGAACGGTTTAACTTTTCTCAGAATAGTTGGTGTCTAAGGCAAGGTTTAGGGGTTGCGTAAAGCGCTCCGCAAGGAAAGAGGTACTTAATTGATCTTTGATCACCCTCTAGTACTATCCTTAGCTGGCTAACTACCTGGGTAAAACTTTGATCTTTTCACTATAGGAGTTTTTGGTTAGGAGCTGGTCTAGTTGAGTTAGGCTAAACCCTAGAATTAGAGTTGATTGAAAAGTGATTGCTTTGATTTGTTTTAGTTA